GATCCTTAACCAGAAATAGTCCTGTACATTGGATGGATGGATCACGGGTATCCTTAACCAGAAATAGTACTGTACATTGGATGGATCATGAGTATCCTTGACCAGAAATAGTCCTGTACATTGGATGGATCATGAGTATCCTTAACCAGAAATAGTCCTGTACATTTGATGGATCACGGGTATCCTTAACCAGAAATAATCCTGTACATTGGATGGATCACGAGAATCGATCCTTAACCAGAAATAGTCCTGTAAATTGGATGGATCACGAGTATCGATCCTTAACCAGAAATAGTCCTGTACATTTGATGGATCACGGGGATCCTTAACCAGAAATAGTACTGTACATTGCATGGATCACGAGTACCCTTAACCAGAAATAGTCCTGTACATTGGATGGATCATGAGTATCATAGTACTGTACATTGGATGGATCACGGGTATCCTTAACTAGAAATAGTCCTGCCGATTGGATGGATCACGAGTACCCTTAACCAGAAATAGTACTGTACATTTGATGGATCATGGGTATCCTTAACTAGAAATACTCCTGTACATTGGATGGATCACGAGTACCCTTAACCAGAAATAGTACTGGACATTGGATGGATCACGAGTATTGATCCTTAACCAGAAATAGTCCTGTACATTGAATGGATCACGGGTATATATATCCCTAGCTAGAAATAGTCCTGTACATTTGATGGATCACGGGGATCCTTAACCAGAAATAGTCCTGTACATTGAATGGATCACGGGTATATATATCCCTAGCTAGAAATAGTCCTGTACATTGGAGGGATCACGGGTATCCTTAACCAGAAATAGTCCTGTAAATTGGATGGATCACGAGTATCGATCCTTAACCAGAAATAGTCCTGTAAATTGGATGGATCACGAGTATCCTTAACCAGAAATAGTCCTGTACATTGAATGGATCACGGGTATCCTTAACCAGAAATAGAACTGTACCTTGGATGGATCACGGGTACCCTTAACTAGAAATAGTCCTGTACATTGGAGGGATCACGGGTATCCTTAACCAGAAATAGTCCTGTACATTGGATGGATCACGGGTATATATATCCTTAGCTAGAAATAGTCCTGTACATTGGATGGATGGATGACTGTGTTAAACAGTCTAAAATATACTCTATTTCATTAATTCGTTCTACTAATTTGATTTTATATCTTAATGTGTTCAGTTTTATGTGTAATGTTGTGGAAGAATGAGCAGTAATCCCTATTTGTGTCCATGCAGTTTGATTTAATTCATATAAATCCATTATGTTTTAACATCAGCTGTATATAAAATTTCATTTCTTTTCTAATCACTAATTACTGTAAACATACTTATATTAGTGTCATATATTAATTTGGCTAAGTCTAAAACTGCAGTTAGAAATCGCTGTCCTGGAAGTATCTTTTGAGGTCCAATTTTAGTCCATAATTTGACCAAAAAAAACATGTTTTTTCCACCTCTACTATGTATCGGAGTTCCCGGATAATTAATGTTTATGATGCCCATAACATTAAATGCAAATAATAATAAGTTAATAAATTATTTCTGATTTTAATGATATTTTAGAAAATAGGTTAAAATAGATTTCCAGTTGGGATCTACAAAATGTATTTCCTGAGATTGAATCAAAGCTTTATTTCTGACATGTGCATGTTTATATCAGTTGAGGTTGTTGTAATAAAAACAATGACTTTGCCACAGTTACGTATTAGTGAGGCTTGATTTCATTGACCACGAGAATGAGTAGGTTCACAGTTTATTGTTCATAATTATCACCCTGACCCATTTTTGATTTTGTGTGTCCTACATTTTAACCTATATATTGATTTGCTGTGACCTAATTTCATGGCTTGTCCCCCTTGTACTGTGTTTGCAGCAATTGGTGACTGTGAGTAATTGATGTTGTGGTTTTCACTTGTCGGGTTCTGTTCACTGAGGGTGTCTAAGTTTTCTTGAAAGTTTTGCTTTATGAACAAATTTACGCAGGGTATTAATCAATGAATAATTGAATTTGAATATAATTTCTGTGATAAACCAGACATACCTATGTACAGTATCTGTTTGTATTATAAACAGCACACCAGGGAAAATATTACAGATTAAATTTCTGAAATAAGACATAGTGAAACTGACATACAGGACAATACAGTTTTTATATTAAGTGCGGAAATCAAGTTATTAATCTCAAAATCATGTCCCTGACCTTACTCAAATATTAAGTGCCAATGATACATCTAAATAGTCTAGATGAATTTGAAACTTTACAGATGATAGTTATAATGACATTGTTACAAACATCTTGGTGAACAGGATATTGCACAGTCCTCAGATGTTTTAAATGTCTTAATGTTGTAATGTGTTTTATTATTTCTTTGCAGTATTGTATTAAATCATTAATTATTTGTAAGCTGTTGATGTTGTTCTTTTTACATAAAGTGATATCTGAATATTAACATTGGCAATTAAGATGTGAAATACAACTTTTTGTATACTGTTGAATTACATGTAAATATAAATTTTGAAAATTTTCAAATTACATACACTGGGCCAAATGTAGGTAATTTGAATTTGATCAATTTTGGAATTTTTGGTTCAAGATGTTCTTGCGAAGGTTTTGATAAACAAATTAACACTGAATAATAGATGTATATAATTGGTGGGAGTGTAATACATACCCGCTGAACACATTGAACACAAGTGTCTCTGGCTATCTACAGCTGTAGTATGTCTATAAGGGATGGGATATGTTGTACCTGTTACTCAGATCAGAGGCCACTTCCTGGTAAATTTGTATCCAACATTCTTTACCTCTCTGTCAGTATGTTTGTTTCTCCATTGTAAACACTTGTGGGTAATTATGTTTGATATACATGGACACTGGCCAATTTTATCTCTATTCGACAGTAATATTCATAAACAAAATTGGCAGATATTTATTGTTGCATTAAAAAATGTTTATGTATAATGAGCCAGAAATGTCATCTTGTTATTAAAGCAATGCGTAAAAGAGGATCACACATTTAGGAAAAACTAACACCAAAAAATAATTAAAAAAAACTTCACAATCCTACGAATATTTTGTCTGAATTGTGTTTATACATTAATCAATGTTTATTACTCTCGTTTCAGTAAATTATATTGATAAATCAAAAGGATTGGACAACTAGCTGTCCTTTCCTAGCCAGAATTACAACACACATATGAACTATATAGAGAAATAAAGACAGATTGTTTTTTATTACGTTAATTAAACAATCCAATTTTAAACTGCCTATTTTCTTTTCAGTTTTTGTTGCATGGTACTGGATGATATGAGAGGTTTATTATATTGTACTCTTTTATGAGTGTTTGTGATTTTTTTAAAAAAAAGAACTGTGATTCCTACTAATCTACCTACACCTTGCCTACAAACCTATGGTATTCCTACCTTTTTATTCAAAGACAAAAACAGGAAATAAATACTGTTTTAATTGGCCTTTAATTACCTATTCTGGTAATAATGTCCAGGTAACTTAATTTTCCAATGATATATGCCTTTCCCCAGGTAAACGCCAACAGAATCTGTCCGATGCTCTGGAGAAAGCACCACCTAGAACCTACCTGGAGGCGATGGGTGCTCTGCTCAAATGGCTTGGTGATATGGAGTCTGTACTGGACACAGAGAAATTTGTCATCACTAATGTTGAAGTACTTGATGCTCAGCTGCAACAGTTCAGGGTAAGTTATCTCCCCTTGAATACATCTTCTATAGTTATCTTAATTGTCTCCCCTTTATAAGTGTCTGTTATGAAGATGATAAGTTGTTTCCCCTTTGTGAGGCATCTTCTCTTCCTACATATTATCGTCAGCTCATTGTGAAGAATGGTCCTTTCAATTTGTGGTCCTTTAAATTTTTGTTATTTCCCACTTTGTTATGTGAACAATGTTATTTTGAGTTGAAGGGGTTTGCAGCAAACTGTTTGGAAATGTTGTGCAATAATAGTTGGTGCAGATGATCTTGAAAACCCCTAAATGATTCGGCAGTTATAATGCTGAAGCCAAACTTCCCGAACTTATAGAGTTTTCACTGTATAAAGGCTTAAAGCTTTGAAACTTTACAATTACAGTTCTTTGGTTTATGGAAGCATTTCTATAACTAAAATGATGATGCTTTCAAAAAAATATTTCTTCCTTTTTTAATCCCAGTCCCTTCAGACTGACCTACAGGACCACATCAGTAGTCTAGACTACATCAACAAGACTGGTCAAGATCTCCTGGCCAAGGCACCAACTGAGGACAAGGCTCGCAAACTGGACAAGGACCTCCAGGGCCTTAACACACGCTGGAGTCACGTCTCCACAGTGATAGACGAACGCTTGGACAAGCTGGAGCGAGCCATTGGTCAGCTGAAACAGTACCAGGTAAGGATAGGCAAATTTAGAAATTTCAATCTGCAATTGTTGAAATGAGATGTATGATTGTAAAATAAGGGTAGATAAATTTCACTGTCCCTGTAACCTGTCATTCATGTAGAAAAAACAGGAATTTAATCAAACCATTACGATATACTCTTATAAAACAGCTACCTCTTTGCCAGCAAAATTTATGCATTATAAAGTGGTTTGGTAAAAAAGCAGCGAAGATATATTAAAATAAGTGTCAAGGAAAAGAGGACGTTAATATATATGTAAGTGGTAATTAAGTTTGGTGGCATATGAATTGAGAGGTATAACAGTTAATACATTGTCATTTTCACCAGGATATAAACTCTTCAATTCTGTAGTAATAAATTACACATCAGTTTGTCCACACGTCCGGCTGCACTTCGATTAACATCTTGTCTGGCCCCCATGCATTGATTATTTAGTCTGTCCTGACATCTGTTAGTCATATCTATATATGTGAGTTGTGTAAAACTGTCAGGTCACTAACCCAAAGGTCAAGGTCATAGCAAGGGTGAAAGGTCAAAAACTTCATTTTGATATTGCTTTAAATTTCCTAGGGTGTATGTATGTATTATGACTTGACAGTGTATTGCAAAACACTCTCAGGGCAATACCCCAAAGGTCAAGGTCATAGAAAGGGGTCAGTTGTGACTATCCATGTACTGGCATGAGTCAACAACATTCACTTTTTAAATGGAGCTTTTTCTTTCAAGTTTTTTTTTTGGGGGGGGGGGGGGGGGGGTAAATAAAAGTTGTGACACAATTAGCTGAAACAGTCAGACATCTAAAACTGTTTGCAAAATGTCTGTACTTGGACACCGTACAGGGTATATTATTACACGAAAGCTGTTTGAATCTGCTTCATTGATATATATATATGGTATTTCTAGAAAGGATTTTCATTCAGGTATGGAGTTGATTTCACATCAGTGTTAGACATTATACTTCTTCCATATCACACTGTTAAAGAACTTTAAAAAACAACCCATCATGTTTCTTCTTTGTGCTTGATTTTGTCAAATACAGTATATTTCTGCCTTCGAAGAATCTCTTAAGAATTTAAGAGTTATCAACCCTGAGTTCCATGTAACTGAAGTAGATAACAGCAATAGCGTATAAACATGATAATCTGTATTGTCATTGTTCTCTATTACTATAATAAAGTAGTATTGCCCTTTTAGCAAGGAAACAGGAGGATTTTCTTGCCTTTTTGGATAAGCATGTTTCCAAACGATACTAATATGATCCCTGTCTTTGTATTTGTTCTTATCTGTGTAAGTGATTACATCCAACTCACTAGTTCTCTAGTCCTGTATCAAAACAACGATTCCCAAGTTAAATTTTAAACCTCCCGCCCTATTAGGAAGAGTTGTCAGTTACCAGTAATTGATAAGATCTTGTTATCATTTCAATCATTTAGAATGCGCTGATGACCATTTCTGATTTTGAACTTGTATCCTGTTGTGATTTCTCGCTGATTGATCAGTAGTATTTGAACGTGTATTCCTTCACTGAGGTCTAGACAGGAGCTGACGTTTCAGGTCGATAAGTACTCGATCTTTGTCTGTAAATGGCGATCATTTGGTGAGCATCGAATGCTGGCCGTGGTCCGGAAGACACTGTTTATAGCATCGATTGAACAAAAGTTGATGCTTACATCTCTTTTTGAAATATTGATGTTTCCTCCTGCCCTCACTTGTTTACTCAGTTACTAAATATAGGTGACAATGCCAACGTTTGAGCGTGAAATGTTGATTTAAGCCGGCAGTGGAAAAACGTCAATAGATGTTTGATTGAAAAGGACAACAGTGTTAATTGATGGGCTTTTCCACCGTGGTAATTTAATTGTGCAACTCAATTTGGTCCAGAATATATAGACAGCTCTTATACACAGGATCTGAAGTGTGATGTCAGCAGTATATATATATACTCCAGGGGAGACTGGTTTTATTAGCGTCAGAGGACTTCTTAAGGAGGCTGTAACACTGGCGACAGGGCTATCATCTATGTATTGGGGAGATTGGTTCCGTTTATAGGCCCCGACAGCAGTATCGTCTATGTATTGGGGAGAATGGTTCCGTTTATAGGCCCCCGACAGCAGTAGCGTCTATGTATTGGGGAGAATGGTTCTGTTTATAGGCCCCGACAGCAGTATCGTCTATGTATTGGGGAGAATGGTTCCATTTATAGGCCCCGACAGCAGTATCGTCAATGTATTGGGGAGAATGGTTCCATTTATAGGCCCCTTGGATGGGATGTTTGACAGGAATAGAAGTCAATAAAAACTGTTGAGGATGTCTGCGGTGATTTATAACAAGGAGCTTTGATATTGTATTAATTACAGACAATTTGACTGACTGGAAGATTTTTTTCACTTGATCTGTGAAATGTGGTCACTGAAACATGTTATAGGCTATAGTATTAGGAATATATATACACTCTCACGCGACAACAGAAATGTGAACTATGATCTGAATATAGTGGCAGGCATGCCTGGTTTCAGAATTAACTAAGTTAAATGACCGTTTGATGAGATTATAGCTGATAAAAGAATGTTCAGCTTTGGAGTTTCTCGTGTATTTGTAATATTGTTGTGAAGATTTGAGACCGTAAGTGACATTACCATGTGAAGTAGAAGTAAATAATAACAACAGTGGGTGTCTGTAGAATACACTGTACACACAGACTTATACATATAATGACATCAGGGTAGACTGGCTGTAGAGTGTAAGTACTGGCCAGCGGGTACTCTTGACCATTCTAAAGTGTCTGTACTGTTTGTCCCACTGACCAGTTAAGTAGCTTTTCAATAGTGTTTTATTTATACACATGTCTGTATGGAACATATCGGCCCTGTACAGGTAAATTCTAGCGACTGTTCAGGGAAACGAGGCATGGAGAACAGCTACCTGTTGGGAGGAATATAAAAGTCACATTTACAACTCCGTGTCATCAGTGGGAATAACGACCCATTCACGATTATTTATGAATGAAGTGTGGGCCTGCTGAGGTTTACCATGTGTATGCATCACTTTCTGTCTGGTGTAGACCGAGCCAGAAAACTGTGTATGGAGTAACGGGACACAACACTCTGATATATATATGGGCAGTGATGCAATTGTGGTTATACTGTCCGGTGGTTCAGTTTTGGAGATTCTTTACACATGAAGAGCTCATTTTGTAGCCAGTTACAAGTACTTTGGAAGTGATCACCTTATAAGATCTGGAAATTGTTCCCTATCAGTATTATACAGGGATAATCTGTCATATTAAACTTCGGTCAGGATCTATAACTGATGCTGTCTAACAAGATGGCTACCACTGTCGGTAAGTTGATAAGAGTTTGATAACGATGTGTATGGTCATGTTGTGGAAACAAAAACTGCACATTTTCAGCAAATGGATATCTTTTCTAATGTATAGAGATGTTGATCCCAGTCTAGCCCATACATGCTGTATTAAAGGATTAGACAGTGCCTTTTAATGGGGTCAGATTTGGTATTTAATGTACCATTTTTATTCTATTCAAATCTCCTTTTATAATAAACAATTATCAAACAAGTTTTTAGCTCACCTGGCACGAAGTGCCAAGTGAGCTTATGCCTTGGTGCGGCGTCCGTCATCCGTCCGTCGTCCATTCGTCGTCCGGCGTCAATATTTTACTTTAAACGACTTCTTCTTAATAATCGAAAGGCCTAGGGTGATGATATTTGGCCAGAAGCAAACTGGGATGAAGGGCTACCAAGTATGTTCAAATAAATGACCTTCATCTATTTTCAAGGTCACAGGGGTCAAATATGTTAAAAACTTTAAACAACTTCTTCTGAATAACCAAAATTCCCAGGGTGATGATATTTGGCCAGTAGCATGCTGGAATGAAGGGCTACCAAGTTTGTTCAAATAAATGACCTTCACCCATTTTCAAGGTCACAGGGGTCAATTGTCTTAAACAATCTTTAAACAACTTCTTCTGAATAACTTAGAGGCCTAGGATGATGCTATTTAGGCAGTAGCATGCTGTAATAGAGGGCTACCAAGTTTGTTCAAATAAATGACCTTCACCTATATTCAAGGTCACAGGGGTCAAATTGTTTAAAACCTTTAAAAAACTTCTTCTGAATAACCAAGAAACCTAGGATAATGATATTTGGACAGTAACATGCTGGGATAAAGGGCTACCAACTGTGTTCAAACAAATGACCTTTACTTATATTCAAGGTCACAGGGGTCAAATATGTTTAAAACCTTTAAACAACTTCTTCTCAATAACTAAGAGGCCTAGGATGATGCTATTTGACCAGTACGTAGCATGCTGTAATAGAGGGCTACAGAGTTTGTTCAAATGAATGACCTTGACTTATAGTCAAGGTCACAGGGGTCAAATATGTTTAAAACCTTTAAACAACTTCTTTTTAATAACCAAAAAGCCTAGGATAATGATATTTGGCCAGTAACATGCTGGGATGAAGGGCTACCAAGTTTGTTCAAATAAATGACCTTCACCCATTTTCAAGGCCATATGGGTCAAATGGGTCAAATATGTTTAAAACCTTTATACAGCTTCTCCTGAATACCCAAGAGGCTAGAACAACGATATTTGACCAGTATGATGCTCAGATGAAGGGCTACCAAGTTTGTTCAAACAAATGACCTTCACCTATTTTCAAGGTCACAGGGGTCAAATATGTATAAAACCTTTAAATAACTTCTCCTGAATATCCATGAGGCATAGGCTAATGACATTTGGCCAGTAACATGCTGGGATGAAGGGCCACCAAGTTTATTCAAATGAATTACCTTCATCTATTTTCAAGGTCACAGGGGTCAAATATGTTTAAAAAAACTTTAAACAACTTCTCAATAACCAAAAGGCCTTGGATGATGATATTTGGCCATTTACATGCTGGGTTGAAGGGCTACCAAGTTTGTTCAAATGCATGACCTTTGTTCATATTCAAGGTCACATGGATTAAATATGTTTAAATCTTTAAATGACTTGTTCTGAATATTCAAAAGGTCCAGGGTAATGATATTTAGCCAGAAATATGCCGGAACAAAAGGCTATAAACTTTCAAGGTCGCAGGCGTCATAAGTTTAAATCATTTAATAGATTCAAATGGATCGAACACAGATATTTTGCCTGTAGCTGTATATTAGTCCACTTTTAAGATTACAATTGTGAGATTAATACCAGGTGAGCGATTCAGGCCCATTGGGCCTCTTGTTTCAACTTATATTAATAACTTTTGTTGGCCAAGATGGAAACAAGCAGGGGTCTTATGATGCGAGAGGAAACCAGAATATCCAGAAAAAAACAATGTGGTTGGGCAGATGACCTTATACATTGACCTCATACATTAATGCTGTTTGATGAAAAGCAAATTCTCCCCCACCCACATGGTGCATTAGTTCCATGGCTTTTGTTCAAGGTCTAGATTTTGTTCCTATTTTAGGGGGAAGTAGTAATGCTACGCAACACCCCCTTTTTAAAAAAATATTAAAGTCACTGTACTCAAGATAGAATGAATATGGCAGATATTTGATATGATATTTGACTTCGTGTTTGTGTTGTAGAACCAGAAAGTGGGTCTCAACAGATGGATGGAGGAGATGGAAGTGTTCCTTCATGCTGAGGACCCCGCCACTGGTGAAATCCCTATGCTGTTAGCTCAGATGAACGAAAGCAACGTAAGTTTTCTTTGACTTTCACTGATGGACATCATTGTGACATTTCACATTCATAAAGGCAAAGAATTGTCCTTGCTTCACTTTAAAAGTCCACATGGGTAAAATATTTTGAATTAAAATTTACAAACTCCGGCCTTCTTAAGATCCATAATGCCTAGTTGAATTATACTTGGCCCTAGTTTGCTGGAAAGAAAATTTTGAAAATTTTGAAAAAATAAATTAAGTCTACTTTGACCCTCTTTTAAGTTGACAGGGATCATGCAGATTTGTTAAAATTTTCAAATGTCTTCTAAAGAACTAGAAGGACTATAGTAATAAAATATGGCCTTTACCTTGCTAAAAATGACTGTAAAGTTTGTTCAAATAAATAAATGTGCCCATCCTTCAAGGAAACAAGGGCCAGGTGTCTAAGAAACAACTTCTTTTAAAGACTTATAATTAAGGCACAAAGTGAAAATATGTAGCTACTAGCTTGCTGGGTAGCAGGCTGTCAAGTTTGTCCCAATACATGATGTTGATTCACCTCCAATATCACAAGAGTAAAACATGTTAAAATCTTCATCACTTCTTTAAAGGTTCATTAGGTCTAGTATAATGATATTTGACCTGTTGATTACTGGATTGAAGAGCTGTCAAGTTTGTTTAAAGTTCCCCGTACCAGTGCAAGAAACTGTACCTAAGTATTGGAAACTGAATTAATCAATTCTAAAAAGAAAACCATACCTTGCATGACTATTATGCAAAATTATAAAGATGAAATCAACTAGATATAATCAACAACTGTGTTCTGAGTGGAGTTCGGGCCGGACAAGGATTTAAACCCCATACTTCAGACTGTTATACTATCGTTCTAACCAATTGAGCTAGCTGGTCAACAGATGTTTCCTGGCCCAATGTTAAGTGTGCTACAGTTATGTCCAAATGGAAGTTCAAAGGGAGGTAACTGTATATAGGAAACACCACAGTCCAGTGGGACAAAGGGAGGGTACTGTATGTAAGAAACACCTCAGTCCAGTGGAACAAAGGGAGGGTACTGTAAATAGGAAACACCACAGTGCAGTGGGACAAAGGGAGGGCACTGTATATAGGAAACACCACAGTTCAGTGGGACAAAGGGAGGGTACTGTATATAGGAAACACCACAGTTCAGTGGGACAAAGGGAGGGTACTGTATATAGGAAACACCACAGTTCAGTGGGACAAAGGGAGGGTACTGTATATAGGAAACACCACAGTTCAGTGGGACAAAGGGAGGGTACTGTATATAGGAAACACCACAGTTCAGTGGGACAAAGGGAGGGTACTGTATATAGGAAACACCACAGTTCAGTGGGACAAAGGGAGGGTACTGTATATAGGAAACACCACAGTTCAGTGGGACAAAGGGAGGGTACTGTATATAGGAAACACCACAGTTCAGTGGGACAAAGGGAGGGTACTGTATATAGGAAACACCACAGTTCAGTGGGACAAAGGGAGGGTACTGTATATAGGAAACACCACAGTTCAGTGGGACAAAGGGAGGGTACTGTATATAGGAAACACCACAGTTCAGTGGGACAAAGGGAGGGTACTGTATATAGGAAACACCACAGTTCAGTGGGACAAAGGGAGGGTACTGTATATAGGAAACACCACAGTTCAGTGGGACAAAGGGAGGGTACTGTATATAGGAAACACCACAGTTCAGTGGGACAAAGGGAGGGTACTGTATATAGGAAACACCACAGTTCAGTGGGACAAAGGGAGGGTACTGTATATAGGAAACACCACAGTTCAGTGGGACAAAGGGAGGGTACTGTATATAGGAAACACCACAGTTCAGTGGGACAAAGGGAGGGTACTGTATATAGGAAACACCACAGTTCAGTGGGACAAAGGGAGGGTACTGTATATAGGAAACACCACAGTTCAGTGGGACAAAGGGAGGGTACTGTATATAGGAAACACCACAGTTCAGTGGGACAAAGGGAGGGTACTGTATATAGGAAACACCACAGTTCAGTGGGACAAAGGGAGGGTACTGTATATAGGAAACACCACAGTTCAGTGGGACAAAGGGAGGGTACTGTATATAGGAAACACCACAGTTCAGTGGGACAAAGGGAGGGTACTGTATATAGGAAACACCACAGTTCAGTGGGACAAAGGGAGGGTACTGTATATAGGAAACACCACAGTTCAGTGGGACAAAGGGAGGGTACTGTATATAGGAAACACCACAGTTCAGTGGGACAAAGGGAGGGTACTGTATATAGGAAACACCACAGTTCAGTGGGACAAAGGGAGGGTACTGTATATAGGAAACACCACAGTTCAGTGGGACAAAGGGAAGGTACTGTATATAGGAAACACCACAGTTCAGTGGGACAAAGGGAGGGTACTGTATATAGGAAACACCACAGTTCAGTGGGACAAAGGGAGGGTACTGTATATAGGAAACACCACAGTCCAGTGGGACAAAGGGAGGGTACTGTATATAGGAAACACCACAGTCCAGTGGGACAAAGGGAGGGTATTGTATATAGGAAACACCACAGTTCAGTGGGACAAAGGGAGGGTACTATATATAGGAAACACCACAGTCCAGTGGGACAAAGGGAGGGTACTGTATATAGGAAACACCACAGTGTATTGGAATAAGGATTCTTAAATAAATGATATTATCCCACTTTTTAGGTGACATGAGTAAAATAAATCAAAATATTTAAACAAATACTTGTTGAGTGACTGATACTTGACCTGTAGTGTTTGCAGTTTATTAAATAAATTTGACCTTGACCTGCTTTGAAGGTCAAATGCTAATACTTGCAATAATAACAGGTGAGTAATACAGGCCTGTTGAGACTCTTGTCCATTGAAATTTCTTCTTTTTCTGTGAAGTTTTGGCTTAACTCTTTTTTTTCTGAATTGTCTGTGCTTCTTGTAAATTTATGGTAAAATGCAGTGTCAACCCGCAAATAATTTCCTAAAAGGAAATTGCGAAAATTATACAACCACGAAATCAAAACAGTTTTACAGTAAACATTATCTCATTATCCTGTTTTATGTTAAGTATTCCAACTTTCAAATTTGATATTTACAAATTGAAATTGAAGTTACATATTTAATTTGACCTTTGAATCATTTAAAAGTTGACCTTTTATATTTGTCCTGATTTGTCTGGGACAATTATCAGCAGTTAGGAGTGTAAATACTGCTAACTTTTACACCACCTGTATGCTGCGAAAATTTCTAGGAAAATGTGTTGACTCAGAATTTCACAGAGCATGTGTTTAGGGGCCATTATTAGCATTACAAATACCAATAGTGTAAATGGAAGTTAAATTCTTCACCTGTTAAAACATTCAGGACAAAAACTCAATGACAGGTAAGTGGTATCGTAGAGATTAGTAAATCATACAACATGGAGCGGATATACACAGGTAAGTTACACCTGGAAATTATGTAGCATCACCTGTGGGGATGACTGGTTTACAGGTGTGTGGTCATTTTGTCATAGATGGTTAATAGTTACTTAATATATCTGTATGTCAAAAACACCTGTATGAGTTTATTTAGATATAGGCGTGATGTAACGGGTATTAAGGAACGCTTGTTTGGTTACGTGGGATCGTTAACCTACACATTTAGACATGATGTAACAATTAAGGAAGATACAGAATTTAGTATCTGAATTTTTTAAGTTATATGCTTCCTTTCATATTATACCTGTGATTTGTATTAGCAGTAACTTAGATTAAAGACACTTAATATGGTATTGTTTAATTATTCAGCTTTGTCAGTTTTACCCAGGCTTCGTGAAAGCATTTCCTCTTCTGTAACTAAGTATTGGAATTTGTTTTATCTAGCATGACTATGACTTAGATCAATCATTTCTGAAAAGAAAACAATACCTTGCAGGACTTTTATGTGAAATAATAAAAATGAAATAAACAAACTAATATCAACAACAGTGTTCGGAGTGTAAAAACAGCAGGGCTAGACCGGGATGTGAACTCCATACTTCAGAATGTAATACCATTGAGCTATCTGGTCAACGGACCTATCCTGGCCCATCAGTGCTACAGTGAGTTATATCCAAACGGAAGATGAGGGTTGGTTTCTGTTTATAGGAAAAAAGACAGTACGTGAGACAGCTGGGATTTATAAAAGGCGTTCACAGTATTGTTGTTTGGTGTAGAATTCTTTTGAAAAAGGGATCGGTAAGGTATCATGGTTATTTTTGTGTATAAAATAAAGTTTTGATGCTATTAGCTAGAATAAAAAAAGCTCACCAAATATAATATAGGTTTGATATGTTACCATTGATAAGCCCATGTTCACTAATAAGCCCACCTTATGTTAAACAGCTATGTACTGTAAATGACATTATATCTAGAAATCAATTTGAACCTTTCATGCATTGATTTGACCTACTTTACTTTGGTCAAAGTCCTCTTGGTTTGAGGTATTTTGATATATTCATTTTGACATAACTGAAGTAATTTAGGGGGTGAAAGCAAAATTTATTGAAAATTAATAGCCATGTTACATGCACTACAGTACAGAAGACCTTTGATAAGAAATGAATACAAAGTGAAATGTGTAATGTACACAGATAAGTTGTACATGTTTCAGTAACACCTGTCGAATAACACATATCTTACAAATGACACTGCAGTCACAGCATTGTCAACTTAGCTATCTCTCTACATGTAGCAAATAGAAATATTATCATTATCAAGCTAACAAGACTTATTTCTACGAATTATTAGAATATGAATCGTATCACTTTCAAGATAACTCATTCACCCCTGAAATTTCATAATGAACTATTCCAACCTTTGAATTGGAAGAGTTCAAATGTGTCTTCAGTAGTGAATGAGATAACCAAATTTCTTATCTTTATAAGTCATAAATTGAACTTTTCAAAAGATGTGAAAAAAATAAGTACGTGACAAGATGGCTTAAAATCTGAAGCTGCTACTGCATTTTGTTTCTAGTAAATCCATTTAGAA